TAGTATAGGTCACGAGAAAGTTTGCCAAACCTATAACTCTGCTATGATCTGCTGGAGAAGTATTTCCATGGCATTCTTTTTTGTTTGCTTTCTCTTGCCTTTTTCTTCCTTTTCCGACACAAAAACATGCCCACAAAACGCTAAGCTGTTTTGCATGATGAACTATTTCAGTTTATCTTTTAATATTAAATTTCAGTTTATGTTTTGATTTGGTTATTAGAAAGTTAAAGTTTGAATGATGTGAACAATATTTTCTGACGTTGTTATTATTTAAATTTAATAAAAATTGTAAGATGCAAAATGATTGAATTGTCTTTTTCTTTCTCAAATGAAACCTAGGCATTCCTTTGTCCATGCCTAACTCGGTTGTCATCGACATCATCTCCAGTCGAAACAGTACTAGTGTGATTCTCTTGTTCTCTTTATTTGTCACTTACTCGTATTTTTATAAATTTATCAAGAGTTGAATTTGTTGTTTTCACACGAACCAACAACCACCAACGTTCGAATCATCATCATTTTTCGATAACTCTTCTAGTTAACTCCGATCACTGAAATGACCCTCTTTTTCTCCTCTCTATATGTACACTTGGATGTCTCACAAAATTGCCAAATTTGTTATTCAATTCGTTTGCAATGATCAATCGGTCGACATGATTTTGAGATATATGTTTTTTTTTTTATCAAGATACATCTTTTTACCGTTCGGATCATAAGAAAATGTGAAGGGCCATCTTACGATAATGATAAGTGTAGACACTATATTTAGTCTGGGCCTCAATTTGATTTCTCCTTTTCAATTATTATTTTCTATTGCAATTTCTAACTATTGGCATTAGTTCATTATTAGACTTCCATATATTCTTGTAATGGTTTATATGCTTCATTATTATTTTTATCGTACTTAAAATATAAGTATTAATTTAGGTTAGCATTTAATATATCTTGTTATTAGTCACGATTAAATTAAATATATGTTTATATTTAATTCTACGTATATAGGTGCATGAGTTAAATTAAATATATGTTTATATTTAATTTCTTTACTTTTCATTGTTCTTGTTCTAGCCCTATTTATTTAGTATCATATTTATGCAGTGTTTTAATATTGGCCGTTAGTTTATAAAGTATTCATGTTAGTCCCATATTTATGTTAGTAGAGAATTGACGCTTTCTTTATATCTTAGATTCAAAATCGAACTTGCTGATTTTATAATACTACTACCCCTAGTTAAAAATAGCAATATTTATGGATTTATAGCATGTTTGGTCCTTATTTTGTTTATGTTTTATTAGATCCTTGATTAATGTTTATTAACCCAGCCATTTAATCATTGTCTTTTTTATTATTTTCCCACTATGGTCACTGCTCATTTTTGCACATGCCTTCATATTATATGTATATATATCGATTCAAACTTTATTTTATTATAAGTCGTGATATTTCTCTTACATTTATGAAAGTTAAATTTCGATGTGAGGGAGATCTATGAAGACATCTTCCAACTACAAGGGAAGTATGTCTTCGAGGATTTTTCACACAAAAGGCCTTTTTTATATTCGATTGTTTTTGCTTCATGATGTTTCTTTTTATTTTATTATCTTGGTTTTATTCCTTTATTATTTTTTGGTTTTATTTTATTTTATCTCGTTTTATTCTTATTTTATTTTCGATATTTAAAGTATAATGCAATGTTATTTTGTGCGAGGAATTAATGAAAAAGTCTCCCAATTACATGGAAAATGCATTCTCGATGATTGTTCATGCGAAATGACACTCTTTTAAATAATATTCCTTTTTAGATAAATAAATAAATAAATATGTAAATATTTTAATATGGAATCTATTATTTAATTCTTTAAACTCATTCATATTTTTTAACTGTTGCCTCCATCACATTTGTTATTTGTCACCATATTTTGATTTTAACAAATTTTAAGGCAATTTTGTTAATTTGGAGAATTGACAAGATAGTATCCTAACTAATAAGGATCACAATCTTTGTTGACTTTCTTTCAAATTAAAACGACACCCTTTTAAAAATACATTCGAGCGAATCTAGTTATTTTCTAAATCAAATTTTGTTTAACAAATTTTACTCAATTCGAAATAAATTCGAATGAACAAAAGGATAGTAATTTAAATATATAATTGAGTTTGCAATCCTCAATATTTAGACAATGTATAATCGCTTAGGTACCAAGTTTGGGCGCTGTGGGGGTGTTCATACTTCCCCACGCGTAATCAACTCCTGATCTCTTAAAAATGAAAATTTGGTATAAACGCAGACTAATTTTTGATCTTTTAAATGATTTTTCTAAAAATTTATTAAAAAAAATATTTTTGATATTCAATCTACCTAACCTAAAGGTCGATGGTGACCCCAAATCAAATTATTAATCTAAAATCCAAATTTCACCACCTATTCTCAAATTCAAAATTTTTAAGTCTAGTAGAACATTATGACAACAAGTGTTATGTTGGCTTGCTTTCATTGTTAAATGATTGAAAAATATTTAGAATTGATACTATTTTGTAATCATTGTAAATTAATAAAAAAATCGAATGGCCATGTTACATATAAATTGGTCAAATTTGCACCATTTGCCACTCTATTAATTTTCATCGCTACATTAAAAAAAATCATTTATTGGTTTTAATATTTCCCGCCCTTGCTTAATTACCTTTTCTTCTACGGCTTAGATATACGTGCCTAACTGTTCACTTAAGATTACGAGCAATGCTAATAAATTAATGACTATCTTGATTTCTACTAAAAGATAGTTTATTTATGATATATCAAATTAATGCAATTGTATATATATTTATTATAAATGAGTCGTATTTTAAATCAATTATCAGATAATTTATTAGGATGAGATGTTAAATTTTTAAATAAAAGAGTAAAATATACAAATAGTTCCTCGACTATGTGATGATGCTTTGTTGAGTCCCTCAATTATTAATAGTTATAAAATGGTACTTCGACTATAGAGTGTTGTTTTGTTGAGTCCATCGACTATTAAAAGTTTTAAAATGGTAACTCAACTATTTAGTATGTTTCAAACTCGTCATTTTCCATTGAAAAATTGACTACAACATGAGCTAGATGTTAACATGTTAATTGAGATATGATACTTTTTTAGATTCAAAGATTAGATTTTATCATATCTCTGTCATCATGTTAACATCCAGCTCAGACTGCCATTAATTTTTAACGTAAAAGGACAAGTTTGGAACATACTAAATAGTCGGGTGACCATTTTATAACTTTTAATAGTCGGGGGACTCAACAAAACAAAACCCTATTGTCGAAGGACCATTTTATAACTATTAATAATTAGGGGACTCAACAAAGCATCGTCCTATAATCAAGGGACCATTTGTGTGTTTTACCCTAAATAAAATTAAAAGATTAAATTTTGATATTATAAATTGAACGAACATAATTTAGAAAACTACTTTTACAAAAGATCGTTATAATATCAAATACAAATTATTATTAACTAATAAACTAAATGTAGATAATTATAAAAAAAAAGTCTGCGTTTCAACTTAAATAGTTGGCACACCTTGGTAACACATGATGATGTGGTCGGCCCTAGAATATGGCTCTTCATCGTAGAATATATTTATGTATCTTTCATTATAAAATACCTCACTTGTACGTAATACTAATTTTTACCATTATTTATTTAAAACAATCACAATTATAACTTTATTATAAAAATTAAAATCAAATTAATATAATATATAACTAATAAGGATTAAACATATAATTATAAAAATTATTAATATTTAATCAAAATTGAGAATGTTTTTGTCTACTCTTATAATACCTTATAGTCTTGCTTTTGTAATATATTTTTTTCTGAGTTGAATTTGTTATTGTCTATCCAAATGATAGTTATTCGGTTACCTTTTTGATTTACTTTTACCTTAAACATTCATGTTGATTCTCTCATCTTGATTGATGCTCACAATCCTAGATATGTCGTTCTTGAGTTGTGATAGAGTTAATTTTGTGTCGATGGTGCTTATTCTTCACCGTATACACTAATGTATGTTTGCATTATTTTTATTCTCTAAAGTTATTTGGTTGATTTTTTTAACTCTACCTTTATATAATTTAATATAATAAAATAAATAGATTTGAGTTAAAAAATGACATATAAATCAACGGAATTGGTTTAAATAGTAAGCAGTTCGATATCGTTTAAGCGGGTTTCGAGTTCGAATTATTGTGTATGCAGAAAATTCATGTTGGGAGATTCACTTACAAAAACTAGATACGTAACACGGATCTATTTAGATTAATCAAAACAAAATATTAATAATGAAATTTACTGTAGAATTCTAGTTGATAATCCAATGCACTTAAATTCAAGCCTAATTGTTAGTTTTAATTGAAGTGCATTCAAGGTACGTTGACTAAATCAATTAATAGCTTTCCATCTTAATTTATATACAGTGTATATATATAATACATTAATAAAATAAAATCAATTACGCGTAATTAGAAGCTTTGGGCATAGTTAGTTAGTTACTCTACCCAAATTTGGTTAATTCAGCATTAATAAGGTAGAAAGGTAAAATAACTTTTTGGTCCTCCAACTTTATCGTTTTAGTCATTTAATCCCCTTAAACATTTATTGCATCACTTCTGGTCCTTGAACTTTTATTTTTTATCCTTATTGAAATGTTGATGTCAATTATTTTATCTTTTTCTGTCATATCATCAAAAAATTCATATTTTCTACAATCGTATATAATTTAAATTAAATATAAAGTCCATATTTCGGATTGTACTAACTTTGAACAATCGTATATTATATCATTGCACATAAATCCAATTGGAACCCTAATACCCTATGTCAGTGGTCTCCATTTTAGTCTAGATACATACATTCATATTTCGAAATAGACTGCACTTGCACCTATGGTTTCCTTATTTATAAATATCTTTGATAATCAAGTTCAAGTAACTAAACAATTACAAAACCATGAAATTCTTTAGCAATACAGAATTTACCGTTGCCTTTTTCCTTTACTCTTTTCTCCTTCTCTCGGCTTGCTCGGGTATACATGGCCTCTCTCTCGACTCCCTTGCGTTTCTTTTATAAATTATGAAAATCACAAGTAAATTTGTTTGTGACAGATCATGGATTTAACTACGATGAAGGAACCGGGAGGGGGCCGTCGTGTTGGGGCACGCTCAAACCGGAATGGGGAACCTGCAGCGCCGGACGAGAACAATCTCCTATCGATATCGGAACAGTCCAAGTCAGTTCTCGGTTGGGAGACTTACAAAGGAACTATACACCAGCCGAAGCTGTTTTGAGGAACAGGACCGAAGATGTTGCGGTAACTTATCGACGCTATATGTTATATACATTACAAAATGTTTTCTTCTCATATAAATAAAAGAATACGAATTTTGATGGTGGTCTTCATCAGGTGGTGTTTTTAGGGCATGCCGGAAGCATTACCATTAACGGAATGGTCTATAAAGTAGTTAATTGTCACTGGCATTCACCTTCAGAGCACACTTTGAATGGAACTAGGTATCAAATTTGTTTATGTTTTTAACTCGTACTTTAAGATTCGTTTATTTCATTGAAGACAGATTTCAAAAAATGATTTCCATAAAACGAATTATAGGTATCCTTTGGAGGTTCACATAGTTCATCGTAGTGACGAAAATAAAATTGCAGTTGTGGGGATTCTTTACCGTTATAGCCTACTACTACCTGACCCTTTCATTGCTAGCGTATGCCAACATTTTGCTTTAATTTCTCCAATTAAAATAGTCTAAATATCATATTATATATAAAGTTTTACTTTGTATAATTTTTCCTAACAGATTTTCCCCGCCATATCATTTCTTGGAAGGGAAGACATACCTCTAGGGTTTATTAATCCGGAAACCATTGGATTTCCGGACTCGGGTTATTATCGATACAACGGTTCACTTACGACTCCTCCGTGTTCCGAGAACGTGACTTGGACCGTTTTCAAAGAGGTGGTTTCTCGATTTAACCGTATCTATTGAATTAGATATAAACAATATGAATGAAGGTGAAGAAAAAAATATATATTTTGAGCTAAATCGAACTTGTGTTACTAACCTGTATATTTCGGCATCATCCTGATTAAGGTCAAGAAGGTCACCTGGTTTGAAGTTGGAGCATTAAGGAGAGTACTTCCTCCTGTGAGTGTTTCCAAATTTATTAATAATCATGGGGATTAATATTAAATTTTACTGAAAATTCAGAACCATTTTTTCTTAATTATAGGTAATTTGTAATGCTTTCCTTGAACTGAAAATTGCTTTTTTTTTTCCTACAGCAAAACAGGGACAATTCAAGGCCAACTCAACCTCTGAACGACAGAAGTGTGTTACTCCATCCAAGGACGAGTTTAACTTGAAAACATATGAACCATGTCTAACCTTTAACACTCTATGGCATAAGGGTGTATATTTTATGCTTAAAATACATTATTGTACCAAATAATTGTTGTCCCACTTTATATATATAAATCCTAAACTTTCCCTAACTATGGGGTGAAAAGTAAAACAAAATAAAAATAGTTCCCTAAATTCATGAGTAATTTTTCCTCTTAAATTATTATTATTTATTTATTTTTACTTAACCTACTTCTAGTCGTGACCGTCTTCTGATGAGTAGCTCGACGACGATGTTTTGTATTTTTATTTAATAAAGCGCGTTAATTTTTTTAAATATGATTTTTTTTTTGTAAATGAAGTTATCATTGATTATTTATGGGTGAACATGATCAAACACTTATAAAAATATATTTATAAAAACAGAAAACCCTTCAAAAGAGAAGAAGAAGACAAATTTAAAGCATCCATTTTGAAACTAAAAAAATTGAATTTAGTTCGATATTCAGTTATGTGTGATAAATATTTAATACCTTCAACACTTAAAATTGATCTCTTTAATTATATATTATCTCGATATTTGAAAATCAAAATCTAATTTAAACACAATTTATCTCGATATATATTGTCTAAAAGCTGTGGTCAACAGCCTAAATCAGTGTTTTGAACCAATAAAAATTACCCTAAGAAACTGTAGAATAAATTTAGTAACACAATTCTTGAACAGCATCAACATATAACTTGTAATTTTCTCTCAAAAATAAAACCTCAAATTTATTCATAAAATTTAAAAAAAAATGAGAAGCAGTGTAATAAACACAAATTCAAGAAAAACGAATTTATGAAATTGAAGTCGGTAGGCATTCATGATTCTGTACCTATATCATTTAAGATATTCGATTTAAAGACAAGTTATTTTGATGTCTTAATTTTAGATAATAATTTTAAAAGATTTGAATCACATATCTATTTATATGTCGATTTAAGATATATATATTTAATTGGTTTGATTCTTTGTTATTTTAAAATATTTGAATTTTTTTGTTATTTAATTGGGTGAAATCATACATCCATCTTATACTTTAAAAACTATTTGAAAAATTAAATTAAATTAAATGTATAATTAAAAAATTAAAAGTATAATAAATAAAATAAGAAAAATAAAATAGTTCAATCACTAAGTTTGTAATTTACCTGATTTATTTTATTTCGAGATGAGACTGACATCATTTTAGCTAGACTATAAATACTTCAAAAGAAATCATTTCGACTTCCGTCTAAGAGGTAAGAGCCGCATTCCTCTTCTGCTTAATCCCAACTTGGAAATTTTTCATAATTCCTGCATGTTAATCTGTTCATATTTGTGTGACGCTCGACCTTTACGATTTCAGTTGTGTTTTTCCCCCTCGATTTGAAATTTGGGTTTATTTTTTTTCACCTTGTTCTCTCACGCTAATGCCTTTGCTTCCCATATTTCTTCAAACTCGTAGGTAAACAACTACATCTACAAGTATATAATTTTGCTGTTATTTGTTGAGAACGCCACCGACCAACTTAACTATTCTTAAGGAATTGCGAAAAATAAGCTACACAGGCTCGAGTATGTTTCTTTCGTGTGATCGTGAATTAGTATTTTATTTTTCGTTAGTTAATCAGCCTGTCAATCATTTTATCAAACACTTAACATGCATTTGCGACGTGTGGGGTATTAACTTGTTTTGCTCTGGGGTAGTCCTTATTTTCCATAGTTCATCATTCTGTCAATCATTGTATCGAACAGTTAACATGCATTTGCCGCGAATTATTTTCTTTATTGTTCTGAATTAAATTATGAAAATATTAAATCATTGTAGTTTCCAGGTTGGAATGGATGAATTGTTGCAGAACCATTTGTTTGCAACCCATGCAATTGCTGCTTCAGGTTCTGTAGTCTTTGGCACTGCTCTTACTTATCCTCTTGATACCATCAAATCCCTTATCCAGGTTCCCCTTAGTTTTCTCATTAACTTTTTTTTTCATTCTTTATGACCCTTTTCCTAGTTCAAGGAAAAAATATTAATCTATTTATTTATAATATACTTAAAATTGAGGTGAACAGGTTGGTTCAGGTTCTAGTAAACAATTAAGTGCCTCTCAGGTTATAAAACGAGTTCAAGCTTTGTCAGGGTATTCAGGTAAGCCATTATGCTTCTCTTTTATTTACTTACTATTCTTAAAACATTGGTCTTCCACCTTTAAGTAAAACTGTTATTTGGTAGTTAATTGTTTTGTTTGTTTGATGCTATTAGGCAAAACATATGGAATGTTGTGTGATTGTTGGATTTTTTTAATTTACAGTAAATACAAAATTGCATATTTCATGAAATGAAAGCGAGAATATTCGTTTCCAAAACTTGATGTGCTTGCTTTCTATGTTTAGTTTTTACATTAATGGGTGGCGATCAAACGTTTAAGTTTTATTGGAGACTTTTATCCTTCTTGTCCTTGCCGCTTTCGAGTACATCAAGAAATAAAAATGAAGGGAAAAGGGGAATGAAGAAATGCTCTTTGCTGATTTGAAATAAGATCATGTATCATTTGCCCGTTATTTATATATTTGGATACGATGAGAGTTAACAAAGGGAGGAAGGTAGATGAAGAAAAGCTTGTGAAGAATGGTAATTCTCTGTTACTTTTTATGGAAGCAAAACTGCGGAGGAGAATGTATAGCTGCAGCAAAATGGATTTTTTTTGCATGCTTTTGTCTTGTTGATATTCAAACTAATGGTAGAGTACAATGAAGACAAATTTGAGATGGTTGAAAGGTTTACCTGTAATTTATAGAGCAGGGACAAATTTGAGAATCTAGCTGGTTATGCTTAAAAGATTAGAGTTAAATTTTCGGAAATTGTTTTCTCTGGTGCCTTTGAAAGAAACAAAACAAGTTGTGCTATTGTCTGCTTTGGTGCCTTTGTGCTAGGCAATATATCTCCCTTTTTTAGCAACCTTATTTAATAAGGTGTACATCTATCATGTCTTGGAGCCCTGTTTTGTAATGCAAGAGCCACAACGAAGATAGATCGTTTGATTGTAGCTCTCTTGCGTCTCTTTTCTTCTCCTTTTTTATGCCATTGTTTTTTTCAAAAATAATATCAAATAGAAAATAAGAGTTTTAAGTATTGAAAAAGGAGTGGATGGAGTCTTGGGACTGTCCAAATTGGAAGGATGGATGCTTATTTTGCTTTTGATTGACACCTTTCAGATTTTTTAACATTCTACTATACAAACTAAAATTTCCAGTTCCTCTCTCCCCAACCCACTTCTTTTGGTCCTTCCTTGCTTTCTCATTTTGGCATTATTTTTATGGGGAAGTATGCCGTGGTAAGTATCCGAACTTTTAGGTGGACTTTGAATTTTGCTTTATTTTGAAAAGTATAGGTTTGTACAGTGGCTTTGAGTGGTTGGCCTGGGGGAGAATTTTCGGTGTGGCAGCTCGCTTTGGAACATATGAAGTTTTGACAGCTTTCTATAAAGGTATTCTTGCCATTTACTTTTTTCTTCTTCTTCTTTTACTCACCTCTTGTCATTTACTTAATATTGTTTTAGAAGGCATTTTTCCCTGAATGTTGTATTCTTGATATAACCTGTTTGTTGCTATATTCCACTATTTGGGTGCTTAAAAACCATGAAAGCCTTATATTTATGTCAGTACAAAAGATACAACTTAGGTGTCATTATGGCGTTGGCTATTGTAGACATTAATCCGTTATTTTTTTTAATATTGAGTAGATCAAAAAGTTTTTACATCTTACTTTGGCTCATGATAGTGCAATGCCAATTAAACAACCTAGGAGCCTTTTTATGAGTTATTGTTTTGCCTTTATTTTGATTTTCAGAGTGACCACAGCTTTGAATCACTTGTAAACCGTCCAATAAAATCAGCCCTTCTTCATATCCATTCCTTTGAATCAATTCAGAGTGACCCTTATCTCAACTCTTTTTCAGTTTGTGTTTTACATCTGAGTTTTTTCCAAAACCGAACTTGACTGTTATCACTCAAACCACATACCTCTATACCTAGCATGGATATTTTTCTCCCCTCCTGTAACACCCCAACCCGTACCCGACTTGAATACGGGTCCGAGATGTCACATTGACATTTTTCAAAACCTTTACTCTTGTAAAAGTACTGAACATTTGAATTTATATTAAGAAAATACAGTCAAATATTATTCAATTGTGTGTTCTATAAAAATTTGAGATAAAAACGTTTTTATGAACGGTGAAATACGATATGAACAGTAATACAGTAACCTGCTACAGTGATTTTTCGTAAATTGTACATAACACTCATAAAAAAATTTAACAGTTCATTTCTTTGCATTTGTACTTATATATATATGTTTAAAAGATTACAAAACTCGATCAGAGCATAATACCTAATTTACCTACTTTAATTACATGCCAACCTATTTATCATAATAATACATACTGTATAATTTACTTCTGATCTGGTCTTTGGGCAGAGATATGTTGTTACTTTGAACTTAGCTTTGATCCTTCTGCTTCTCAGTACCTACGTGTAAATCACTTACACGCTAAGTCATAGACTTAGTGAAGCAAAAACATAATAACAATAATGCATTTCTCATAAATATAAACATTCAATCTATGAATTCAATCGAGTCGCATATAATTCAGTATACATGATAACCTGAGATAATATAAATACTTTTAGTACCTCTTTATCGTATAACTACATATATCGAACATTTCTCTACATACCATGGAACACATATACTACTTCACAACAAAACATACCTAGTCCATTTACTCTCTGTAAAGACCATGTATTAGCCCATGTATACTTTTGAGAACTCAAGGTATGTGAGTACATTGAGGTTGTGCACCACTATGCTGTCACAACAGCTCGATCAATGTCCCGAAGGACCAGTCCATAGATTCCGAAGAACCTAGGTAAACAGTCCATATGTCCTGAAGAACATAGGTAAACAGTCCATATGTCCCGAAGAACATAGGTAAACAGTCCATATGTCCCGAAGAACATAGGTAAACAGTCCATATGTCCCGAAGAACATAGGTAACCCTCGACCCTTGGCATGCCAACTATACCCCTAGCTCTCATATCACATAACATGGGCATTATCATTTATGACCGTTCACATTACTTATTCATATTCTTACTCTTATAAACACATATCGTTTCTTTTCAGTCACGTATTACATATACGTGTAATCCTTGATCTCATAATCACATGTTCCTTCTCTTCTATCACATACCAAATGTATGTGTAAACACATATCTAATATCATATGTTGCATTTTCATGTAAGCATGTAAATCATGTAACATATAAACATAACATCCATTTCTATGTACTAATGCATACAGAGTAATCACATAACATTATATAAGTTACTTCTTACCATAGTAACTCTATCATTGACTCATCGCAAGCCAATGTTTGATCAATCACATAAGTACAATTTAAATTGCACTCACCTTAGCCTTGCTTTGATTCGATTATTCCGGAACTTGTTTAGGCTCAATATCTACATAAATATATCATTTCAAAACAACTATCAGAAGCCTAAACTTTAAACTTGATGTTAATAACTTAAACCGGTTTAATAAATTGAATTCTGAATTTTTATTTAGGGGGGAATCGATACCCCCCCCAGGGGAATCGATACCCCCTGAACAATCTGGAATTTTTCGTTCAAGAGGGGGAATCGATTCCCATTCATAGGGTATCGGTTCCCTCTGCCCAGAAATTGCATTCTAAGCTCGAAAATCATCAATTTTCAATTCTAACCTTCCTATTTTACCTCCCTTAATACTCCTAACTTTAATACACATACTTAAACTTATTTCTATTCCATAATCACTTCTTTAACTTCAAATATAGTCATTCCTATGTAATTACAAAAATTCTACTAGTTTTGCAACATGTTCAAATTCCTATTCTAACACTTTCTATCCCTTAATTAACTTGATTACAAGTCAAATTCAACTTTCAATTCTCAATATACACTTTATTTCAATATTTCATTCCAAAACTCCTAATCTTTAAATCCTCATAAACTCTTCATTTTGTTGTTTTAAAGCAAATTAATCCTTCCTTAATCTTACTTAGCATCTAATAATCAAAACTAAACTTAAATTTCAGCACATAATCAACTCAAGAGACAACTTACCTTTTGCTTGGCTTCACACGTGAAGAGAAAAAAATGAAGAAGGAAAAGAGAGAAGAGATTTTTCTGGAAAAATCTCCATCCTTATCCATATATATATATCATTTAATTATATTTTCAAGTCTAATGACCATTTTGCCCTTTAACTCTTTAGATAATTACAATAAACTTTTAGGAAATATTTTTGACAAATCATTAAACTATTAAACTATTATACTTTAATCACCATATTATGAAATTTTACAATTTTGGTCACTATCCCGTATTTTGGGATGTTACAAATCTTCCCCCCTTAAGAAAATTCGTCCTCGAATTTTCATTGCACCAGGAGATAAGATATTGTCTACACATCTCCAATGAATTTTACTTTAACCTTTCTTAAAATCCATATAATGTAACTCATTATATAGACAGTAACCTCTAGTTCCATCACTCCATACCAATAATCCATCTATAATGTAAATCACTGATGTACATATTCTTAAACTTTCCTATAACAATATTCTGCATCATTTGATCTTTTAATATTCTCCTTATAAGAATCATCCCCTATGCCTTATTTCATCAATGCAGCAAAGAAACTATTCTATTTCAGAACGATATAAATCCTCTAACATTATACTACTGGTTTATTTCCAATCTTACTTCAAATTCATTGAATAACAATTCATCAATTTAGTAAGAAATTAAATTCTCCGAATTATAATGGGACACTTTCCATATATCTTACTTATCCACACACTGTACCCTAATATATTTGTCACTGTCATATTACTATAAATAACTTCTAATTGAATTCTCAATTCTTTCACCAATTTACTACTAATATATAAACATGCAAGCCTAAATCAATCATTATCATAATGTATTTATTTCACACTAGAAAGATACCTGCTATTATCTCCGGATCATCAAAATCTTCATTGGTATTGATATTATACATTCGAGCAGTGGAGCGTATTTCTTGTTGAGTAGAAGATTCAGATTGGCTCCTACCTCTTCCTCTCCTTCTCCCTCTCCCAGGTATCATAACAGATCGTTCCGACTGTACTGGTTCTCCTTTCCCCAATGGGCAATCTCTCACAAAATGTCCCATTTCACCACATCGGAAACAAGCTCCGGATTCTACCCTACATATTCCACCATGATATTTTCCACAAGTCTGACAATGTCTCTGTTGGGTTCTGTCCTCACCAAATCCTACTGATTGGGTCTGTCTAACTTTCCCCTGATTTGATTCTCTAACGGAGGATTCTACCCCTCCAGACCTTGCCTGAGACTGAGTACCAGAATCTCTACCCCTCTTGGGTGGTGCAGAACTCGATAAAGCCCCAGTTCTTTTAGATGATTGGGTTCTTTGATCCCCAAACCTTTCATTCTGAGCTCTCTCTAGAGCTTTAGCACGATTTACTATTTCTTGAAATGAGGACAAGTTCAATACTATTAGCATTTCTTTCAACCTTGGGTGCAAGCCCTCTACAAACCACTCACACACATCCTTCTCTGTTGGAATCAACTCAACCGCAAAACGACTTAACTTATTAAACTCGCACTCGTACTCATACACTGTGTGATTCATCTGTTTCAGATTCAAAAATTCTTGCTTCATTTGACGGATAAATTGATCCCCTATATACTTATGCTTAAATTCTTCTAAGAACAAAGACCATGTCACTTGATCATTGGTCATTCTCAAAGTGACATTTGTCCACCAAATTCTCGCTTGCCCACGAAGCAAGGAGACCACTCCATCTAACTTCTCTACATTAGAACAGCGGAGTCCATCTAACATAATTTTTACATCATTAAGCCAAAGGTCCGCAGCAACAGGACCTTCTTCGGCTTCACCTTTAAACTCTGTAGCTCCTAAACCCTTCAACTCCTTTGCAACATTCATTCTTGGAGTTGAAGTAACAGGAGGTTGATAACGCGTCAATACCGCATCTAATGTTCTAAAGAACACATCTTGATCAGTTACAGGCACTCCAGAAGGTGTCTGTTCTTCACCTTGCCTGGCCAGGGCAGGTGAATTACTGCTCTCAGCGGGCCGATCATCTCCCGCTTGACTTCTATAACTATCATGTCCGGACATCTATTAAGAATAAACATATCGTTCTATTAGCAAAACAACATACTCACTACTATACCAGATCAGAAGTTTTCACTATTTTGTTGGCATGTATACATTATAAGACACCCTAGACTCTTGTTTATGCCGAGAATCGGCTAAACCGTAGCTCTGATACCATTAAATGTAACACCCCAACCCGTACCCGACTTGAATACGGGTCCGAGATGTCACATTGACATTTTTCAAAACCTTTACTCTTGTAAAAGTACTGAACATTTGAATTTATATTAAGAAAATACAGTCAAATATTATTCAATTGTGTGTTCTATAAAAATTTGAGATAAAAACGTTTTTATGAACGGTGAAATACGATATGAACAGTAATACAGTAACCTGCTACAGTGATTTTTCGTAAATTGTACATAACACTCATAAAAAAATTTAACAGTTCATTTCTTTGCATTTGTACTTATATATATATGTTTAAAAGATTACAAAACTCGATCAGAGCATAATACCTAATTTACCTACTTTAATTACATGCCAACCTATTTATCATAATAATACATACTGTATAATTTACTTCTGATCTGGTCTTTGGGCAGAGATATGTTGTTACTTTGAACTTAGCTTTGATCCTTCTGCTTCTCAGTACCTACGTGTAAATCACTTACACGCTAAGTCATAGACTTAGTGAAGCAAAAACATAATAACAATAATGCATTTCTCATAAATATAAACATTCAATCTATGAATTCAATCGAGTCGCATATAATTCAGTATACATGATAACCTGAGATAATATAAATACTTTTAGTACCTCTTTATCGTATAACTACATATATCGAACATTTCTCTACATACCATGGAACACATATACTACTTCACAACAAAACATACCTAGTCCATTTACTCTCTGTAAAGACCATGTATTAGCCCATGTATACTTTTGAGAACTCAAGGTATGTGAGTACATTGAGGTTGTGCACCACTATGCTGTCACAACAGCTCGATCAATGTCCCGAAGGACCAGTCCATAGATTCCGAAGAACCTAGGTAAACAGTCCATATGTCCTGAAGAACATAGGTAAACAGTCCATATGTCCCGAAGAACATAGGTAAACAGTCCATATGTCCCGAAGAACATAGGTAAACAGTCCATATGTCCCGAAGAACATAGGTAAACAGTCCATATGTCCCGAAGAACATAGGTAACCCTCGACCCTTGGCATGCCAACTATACCCCTAGCTCTCATATCACATAACATGGGCATTATCATTTATGACCGTTCACATTACTTATTCATATTCTTACTCTTATAAACACATATCGTTTCTTTTCAGTCACGTATTACATATACGTGTAATCCTTGATCTCATAATCACATGTTCCTTCTCTTCTATCACATACCAAATGTATGTGTAAACACATATCTAATATCATATGTTGCATTTTCATGTAAGCATGTAAATCATGTAACATATAAACATAACATCCATTTCTATGTACTAATGCATACAGAGTAATCACATAACATTATATAAGTTACTTCTTACCATAGTAACTCTATCATTGACTCATCGCAAGCCAATGTTTGATCAATCACATAAGTACAATTTAAATTGCACTCACCTTAGCCTTGCTTTGATTCGATTATTCCGGAACTTGTTTAGGCTCAATATCTACATAAATATATCATTTCAAAACAACTATCAGAAGCCTAAACTTTAAACTTGATGTTAATAACTTAAACCGGTTTAATAAATTGAATTCTGAATTTTTATTTAGGGGGGAATCGATACCCCCCCCAGGGGAATCGATACCCCCTGAACAATCTGGAATTTTTCGTTCAAGAGGGGGAATCGATTCCCATTCATAGGGTATCGGTTCCCTCTGCCCAGAAATTGCATTCTAAGCTCGAAAATCATCAATTTTCAATTCTAACCTTCCTATTTTACCTCCCTTAATACTCCTAACTTTAATACACATACTTAAACTTATTTCTATTCCATAATCACTTCTTTAACTTCAAATATAGTCATTCCTATGTAATTACAAAAATTCTACTAGTTTTGCAACATGTTCAAATTCCTATTCTAACACTTCCTATCCCTTAATTAACTTGATTACAAGTCAAATTCAACTTTCAATTCTCAATATACACTTTATTTCAATATTTCATTCCAAAACTCCTAATCTTTAAATCCTCATAAACTCTTCATTTTGTTGTTTTAAAGCAAATTAATCCTTCCTTAATCTTACTTAGCATCTAATAATCAAAACTAAACTTAAATTTCAGCACATAATCAACTCAAGAGACAACTTACCTTTTGCTTGGCTTCACACGTGAAGAGAAAAAAATGAAGAAGGAAAAGAGAGAAGAGATTTTTCTGGAAAAATCTCCATCCTTATCCATATATATATATCATTTAATTATATTTTCAAGTCTAATGACCATTTTGCCCTTTAACTCTTTAGATAATTACAATAAACTTTTAGGAAATATTTTTGACAAATCATTAAACTATTAAACTATTATACTTTAATCACCATATTATGAAATTTTACAATTTTGGTCACTATCCCGTATTTTGGGATGTTACACCTCCACCCCTTCTTCCAGTGTCAAGTTTGCTAGTTATATGTAAATACTATATCTATTAAAATGGTTGCAGATGTTTGAAAACTAATTTTTCAATATCAGCATCTCTTCATTGTAGAATGGGATTCAATTCATTATCTGTGTTGTAACAAGAGCTGATAATCTGTGATTCTTATACCATTTCTAATTAATAATATTAAAATATCTGTGAATATTGCTCCCTCCATATCATTTTATTTATCCATCTTTCCCTTTCTTTGATGTTTCAAAACTATGCCCTCTTTCTTTTTTCTAAAAACCTAATACATAATTTTCTTTTATGTTTCAAATTTGTGGTTGTTTTACCTTTTGACATTAGAACCCTTGATAAATCAATTTTATAATAAAATTTTAATCTAAGCTGAAGATTTTATTCTTAGTTTTCATGGAAGTCCAATAGGGACAAGGATTTTGGAATGGAGTATATAAAGAAACCCGATGGTTATAATCTTGTGATCTCATATTCTGATATCTGTAGTAACTTAAATGGTGTGTTCGCTATCTGTTGTCACTCCATTCCCAGTAACTTCCTCCTCATAATTTGAAGATTTACATGTTAATGGAAAACATAAGAGTATAATTGTAATTTTTCCCAATTACATCCACAAAGTTCACTTCATTATGTTGTGATGTGGCTGTTCCACAGATGGTCGAGAAGACAATTTTGTGTATGTCTCTGAGGCCCTTATGGCAGGGATTGCAGCTGGTGCTGTGGAGGCACTAACAAGCACACCATTTGAACTTATTAAACTCCGTGCACAGGTTACCTCTGCTTCTCGCATCTCAAGAGCAACACCAGTAACAGGGAATAAAACTGTTATGCCATCAATTTCCAGATTATTACGTGGATATACTCCAGATATGAAGGCATTGAACAATGCTGTCGGTATGTTGTCCATTTTAAACAGCAAGCACCCTAATATGGTTGGTGCCATACAAGAGTACCCTTGGATGATGACTGGGTCTGGAAGGCCACCATCAGTTTATGATGTCCGGAGACCATCTGAAATAATTTCTTTGGAAGGATGGAGTGCATTTTGGAGAGGCCTTCGTTCGGGAGTTGCTCGAGACTCTGTATTTGGTGGCATATTTTTCTCTTCTTGGGACTGTTTGCACCAAATTATGCTTAATTGGAAGGCGGCCGGGATGGATCCCCCACCCAGGTGCTTTTCTGAGTCTTTTCCTTGCCATTTGGGGCATGGAGTTTCCATGTTGAATATTTTTAGTTCATTGTATGCATGCAAATTGTTTAGTTGATTATATGCTTGCAACTTCTAGTCATTTTTCCAACCTATGCTACTCAAATTTGAGTATGAGTTTTGGATACCGGCATGTGTCTGACATGGGTATGTTCAATTTAGTTTTTTCCCATGTAGTTGGAGGGTCATATCCTCATACCGTATTCACTATTGTCAGGGTACTCCAAGCAAAATGAAGAGTTAGAGCAACATAGGTTGTAACTATGTTCTACACTTATAATGCTAAGGAGAATAGAGAGAAAGATACTGACCCAGATACAGCAGAAAATCCGCTAATTTATTGGTTCAAGTTTATCATTGTCTCATTGGGAACTTCAAACCTTGATTTACATACTAAGTATTTAACACGCTTTTTGTAACTTTTTTAGTGAGTGCTAGTCTTACATTTCCCATGTAATATATGGTGTTAAATTTGAAGACTATCTCAGGTTTCTATTTTCTATGATAATTTATATAATCAGAAGTTCTTGTGACGTGGTTTTGCTAGTCTGTTGTCTCACAAGATCTACCAGTTATTTTGTCAGTTCTGCTTGTGGTTGTACAAGATTAACATGAAATCAAGAGATGGAATATCATCATACAGGATTTTTATAATCATAAGTTCTTGTGACATAGTTTTCCTTGTATTTAGTCTCACAAGGTTTGCTGATTGTTTGACTATTCAACTTTGCTGTGGTTGTATAAGACGAACATGAAATCAAGAATTCAAATGGAATAGCAATATAGCATTACATGGAATTATGTGAAATTAGTTGCATGAATTTCAAGGATTTTCTGAACTTTTTTAGGATTTTGATTTAAATGCTTGTTTATGTGGCTAAATTTGAAATCCTTTTGTTTTTCTCCCTAAGGTATGATGAAGAAATCGGTCCACTATCCCCTGTAGCTGCTAGTCTTGCAGCAGGGTTTTCGGGTTCAGTTGCTGCTGCTGCATCTCATGGTTTTGACACAGCCAAAAGTCGATCACAATGTACAGTGTTACCCAAGGTATTTCTTTTATTTGGTGCCACTTTGTCTTTGATGACCGTTATAGCATATAAGCTTTTCTCATCCAATTTTACCTCTGCCATCAACTTTGAAGATAATCAATTAGTATTCAAGGTGTTCCTATTTTCAACTTTCGGCTGTGTTGTATGAACTGCATTCTTTTTAGAAACTCAGTATATTGTGATTGTTAAAGTCTACATGTAACTCAAATGTCAAGAAAAAGAAAGAAAAGCAAGTGTGAAGTGAGACGTTATGTTACAAACTTACAATACTATATTACTCGGACTCGGACATGTGTTCGACACCGATATGACTAGATCTTTTAATTTTATTATGTATTCGGAGTAACATTGGTGGTCATATCTCCATGAGTGTCGGACATGGGTATTCCAAGAAAATAAGAAAGTCTCAGAATAATGTAGTTGCAATCGATGCTTTATTCATGGTGTTTTGATTTGACTTGCTCACATGCCGATTGCCTTCATGTAGCCACTTTTTTCATGCAGTTCATTTCAATGGAGAGAAAGCTTCTCAAGTGGAAAACACCAGGGAAAAGATTCGAGAAACTCGTCGGCATCCACCCTGAAGATAGAAACCTCTTGTTCCGGGGTATGTGGTTACGGATGGCTCGTAGTGGAATCGCATCGTTCGCAGTCGTCGGAAGTTATTACTTTTCTGTTGCTTACCTTGTTCCGGGTAATTGATCCCCGAGAGCTCTGCATCGGTAAAATATTTAAGAGGGAAGGAAAGGACAGGTCACAGGTGGGAATGGTTAAAATTAAGTACGAAATGGTGGTTTGAAGATAGTTTCTTAAACCTATGTTACAATATTTCATTTTCCCTAAATTCGAGATTTAATGTTAATCAATACTGAACTTATTATCTTAACAATAAAAATGAAACGTTTTCTCTAGAAGTCTCGAGTTCTAACAAATGCGTCTGTAGAATATGTATGCATTATTAATTATTAAATTCGAATAATTGTGTATGTAACTTAAATCTCCACTTCTATCTTTCACTAAAGAGGTAAGAAATCGAATCCGTGAAGCCGGAGTTGGTTTGCATGTGACATTGAATTAATATAATAGAATACAGGACAAAATTATATAAATTATCTAATCTAATGAAAGTGTAAAATTTAGGTTTATAATTTTATAATATGAAAAAATAATTAAAAAAATATTATTGACATCTAAATTCATTAAGTAATTAACCGTTTGCCGAAAAATTCATTAAGTAATAAAAGTTATTAATATTATTCTAAATACAATTAAAATATTTAAACAATATCCAAACATACAAATAATTCAAACAAGAAGTTAATTAATCAAAGGTGGGTCTAACCGAATAATTTTGAAATTTTCGAAAATTTTAGAATGGTAAGATTTTGAGATGATGCATTTCAAAATGCTAATACTTATGACTATTTTGTTTGGATAATTAATTAATTTAAAAAATTAAATTATTAAGATTTTATGAATTTAAAAACAATTATAAAAAATTAACAAAGTATACAATATGTATATCTTTAGCTTTATAAATATATATAAATAATTATAATAATGTGTAATATAAAAATATACATTAAGATTGATTAAAATAATATTTTATAATAAAATTATATGCATTAAATAAGGTTAAGAAGATTTTTTAAAAATAAGTAGTATTTGAATAAAAATGAACCTATCAAAATCTATTTTTTAAATTCTTTTTAAATTTTTAAATTTCTTATAAAACAATTAATTTTGTTTTTAAAATTTTACAAACCTAGATAAAAACGGATTTTTCCTGAAATTTCTCATTCATACACAGTAAAATTTGCCCAATTTTTTTCTTTCAGAATCTCATAATCTACTTTCTCATTCTCATTTATTTATGATTTTTTAATTAAATCTCTTTACCACTCGCCTAACAACCTTCATTTTCAACTCGGCTGTGTGAATCATTTTGACTCGTCGTCAACTCAGCTCTCACTGTGAATGCCATGATGTTCTTTTTTCCCCTCTTGTCTTGCTCTCAGGTACTTATAATCCTCTTTTTGATTCTGGGTCTTTTTTTCCCATTTAGAATGTTTTAGATTTTTTTTATGAATGGCGTTTGAATTATTTTCTTTATCAGATGCTTAGAGAACAGTGATAATGGAGAACCCTAAAACCCTAAAACAATTAATTTTGTTTTTAAAATTTTACAAACCTAGATAAAAACGGATTTTTCCTGAAATTTCTCATTCATACACAGTAAAATTTGCCCAATTTTTTTCTTTCAGAATCTCATAATCTACTTTCTCATTCTCATTTATTTATGATTTTTTAATTAAATCTCTTTACCACTCGCCTAACAACCTTCATTTTCAACTCGGCTGTGTGAATCATTTTGACTCGTCGTCAACTCAGCTCTCACTGTGAATGCCATGATGTTCTTTTTTCCCCTCTTGTCTTACTCTCAGGTACTTATAATCCTCTTTTTGATTCTGGGTCTTTTTTTCCCATTTAGAATGTTTTAGATTTTTTTTATGAATGGCGTTTGAATTATTTTCTTTATCAGATGCTTAGAGAACAGTGATAATGGAGAACCCTAAAACCCCAGAAAGTTTAGAATCGAAAATCCAGATTTTGAATTCTTAGAGGAAGGTTATGAAGATCCTGATTTGCTCACTTTGATCGAAAGTAGTAATGGGTTAGGCTCCATTTTTAATGTTCAGCTTCAAGAAAATGGCAATGCTGTTGGAGGAGATAGCTTAGCTATGGATGTAAAAGAGAATGGTGTCAATGTTATTGAGACTGCAGAAGGCTGTTTACTGAACGATAGAGTTGATAAAATGAAAGAGGATCAAATTGGTATGGAAGTGGATAGCGGAAGTGGGGACAATGCCTTTGTAGAACCTGTTAAGGATGAGGGGACGAAGGACATTGATCGTTCGAGGATTAATGGAGTTGATCTGGTTAATAGGGTACAAGTTTTTGGAGACAGCATATCGCTTTATGTGGACTTTTCAGGAACTCTAATTGAAGTAAACAGAACTAGGTTAATGGTAAGTGAGTACGAGTTGAAGGAAGCCGGAAATGAGGGGGAGTTAGTAACTGTTGGACCGGAATATAAGTTTTATGTAGGTGGTATTGTTTGGGTTAGAACGAAAAGTCTGAGTTGGTGGCCGGGAAAGATCGTAGATCCCTCAGAGGAGCCAGAGTATGCTTTGGTTGGTGACGAGAAAAACTGCTTTCTCGTTGGGTACTTTGGTATTAGCCATATTGTTTGGTGCTGCCCATCTCAGTTGAAGCCTTTCTTTGTGAACTTTGAGCAGATGATTAGAAAGAATAAAGCTAGAAGCTTTCTTGCTGCAGTTGAGAAGGGTATGGATGATTTCGGGAAGTGCCTGAAGTTGGAGATGATATGTTCTTTTGTTTCGAAAGAAAATAAGTTATTATCTAGTAATTGCGCTAACAAGGAAGGAGCTTCCTTGGCTGAGTGTAAATCTGGTCAATTGACGGAGTTTTCTGCTGCGCTATTTGAGCCTGTGAAGTTTCTTTGTCAACTCAAAATTCTTGCACAGGTTGTTACAAAGCCTGATATACTTGAGTTTGTTGTCGTACGGTGCTACTTGTCAGTGTTTTTCTGTTCCATGGGACATTGGCAATTGCCCTTGAATCAACTGTGGGAAACGACATGTAATGCAGAGAATGCTGAAAAAAACAGCATACCATATAAATTATTGTTGGAACAATCTGATGCAATGAAGAATGAGATGATACAGCTCAATCAGAATGGGGTTTCGGTCAAAATATCAGGTGAGGACTCGGGGCCTTTCTCTAGTAAACAGGCTTTGACTTCAAGGAAGAGAGAGGAAAATTTATGATGAGGTGAGGAATAGCAACACTCAATTTGAAAGGCCTGATCAGGGCACATGTGTTTCCGTCGAAAACGGAGATGATAACAGTGGAATGAGAAATGAATCGGGCTACGAGTTGAGAGGACGTAAGAAGAGCAAGTATTTGTCGTATCCCAATGTTAACTTGAAATGTAAAGTTTCAGGTGAAACAGAAGATCCTGTAGCTTTGAAAGTTTCTCATGAGGGGGTTAATGAATTTATCGGGTCTTCTTCAGCTGACAAAAGTGCAAAGAAGTTCCAGAAAACTTGGTATAGAAAATTCATAGGAGGATATGATGTTACTGCTTTTCCGGAGCTCAGCGGTATATCTTCTGCTGAACTGCTTTCCGAGCTACATTTTCTAGCTGCCGATTGCCTGTTTTCAACTGCAAGTAAAACCTTTGGTCTGGTTGAGTGGTTTTTCTCCAGATTCAGAATTTCAGCATATCACGATGAATCCATATATGAGATGCATTGCTAGAATATGGCCAATCAGAAAGAGGATTCTGTTAAGAATTCTTGCTTGTCGGGGAACGATCTACTTCAAACGAAACCTACTTCCTCGCCCCTCACTCTTCCTAGGAATAAAAGGCAAATAAAAAGAAGCCTACAATCTCAGCAACATCAAAACATTAACTCTCTTTCGGGCAATTAGATGGGAATATCAACTTTTTGCCATGTAACTTATCAGTGAAAGCGTCTGAAGCGATGGCCTCTGACATACCTAACGGGAAACAAACCCATCAGGAGACTAAAGAAGCTACTAATATACCAGATTTAAATGGAAATGATCCTATAACTCCAAGCACATTTGTTGCAAACGGAAATAATGCAAGCTCCGGCTCGGTTTTGTTAGATTTTCAAGCGGTTGGCCCACATTCCATGAAGATGATTGCTGAACAAAGTGACAGAGAGGGACTAAATGTTGTTCTGCCTGATTCTGGTGCAACCATTCTGCCTCTAACAATACCAAACATTGTTTCATTTGCATCTGAAAGTAAGCCAGGTCAGAAGAAGAGAAGGAAGCCAAAAACACAATCTGGCCTTCCGAGCCCTATGCCCTCTTCATACATACCCGATCTAAACGTAACTGGAGCAGAACCCAACACATCAATAAAAGATTTGCAGGAGGCAAACGGTTTTCCGTATGCTGAAAAACCTGCTCGGAAGAGGAGGAAGAAAGGAGAGGTTATTTTAGGCACTCCAAATATGATTTTAAATTATAATGGAGCAGGGGCAAGTGGAAAAGCCCCTGCAACCACTCTTCTCTTGACATTCACCCCTGGTGCTTCCACGCCTTCAAAAGAAGTTTTGGTTGCAACATTTTCCAGGTTTGGATCCTTGAAGGAGTCAGAGCTTCAGATATTGAAAGATTCTTGTAGTGCCCGGGCTATCTTTAGGCGAAGTGATGATGCTGCCAAAGCATTGCGGAGTTTAGAGGAGAGCAATCCTTTCGGTGCAACCCATACAAAATATCACCTTCAGAATGACACTATCGTAACTACTAAACGCACGTAGGGATTCCGATTGCCTGCAAATCTTACTAGTCCGGTGTCGGTGCCTCACTTTGGGGATGCACCTCCTAATATTGATTTTATGAGACAGAATCTTGAGATGATGACATCAATGCTTGAGAAATCCGGGGATAATCTGCCTCCAGGGACGAAGGCAAAGCTTGAGAACGAGATTAAGGGACTACTGAAGAAGGTCGATTCTTGTCCTGGTTCCTCTATCTAGAAACGTGGTCTCTGATGTACTTTCCTATTGGAAGACACATTTAAGGTACCTGATTTCCATTGTAGTCAGAATCTTTGTAGTCAGCAATGATAAAATTGTAAAGTAAGAATAAAATTGTAAAGTAAGAAGTAAAAGAAAACATGAGCCTCCATATGTGAAATTACTAAGCATTTTGGGATCAAAATCCTAAATAATTTTCTAAATTTAAATAGACAAAATAATAATAAATTCCAACATAGAAGAAATAAAAGGTTGTATTACTACATAATAATAGGGGTCAAGTCCCAAACATAAATCTTTGCATGCTTAAACAGTGTCAGTTTTCAAAACCTATAACAACATTTCAGTTACCAAAAACTTGCACTAAAAACTGATTAACAAAGCACAACGATGTTTGAGAATGATTTCGATCCCTTCTCGCTTAAGGTCAGCCGGCAATTTCCCTTGAAAGAAACCACCCACTGTCTCCAACGTTTGGTTTTATCATTGCTGAGCGCACTGTACCCTCTGTGCACCACCATGCATGTCTTCATCTTCCTCGTAGGCCTCTTGACCTTGTGCCTGTTTCCTACACTTCTCTTCCTCCATGTTAACATCATGCAGAGTTGTTTCCTCACATTCATCCAGTTCCATATCAGTTAGCTGGACCGAGGACCTTGGAGGTAGTACAGCCTCTAGAGCCTTGCACTGGTCTGGGGTCAAAGTATCGGGGAAATCAACGGTGAAGTGAATGTACAGTTTACCTCTCATAAATGGCCTCTGATAAATTGGCATTCCTTCATCGTTTATTGTTTTGTATTGATCTACGTTAAACAGAGAGAACTCGACAATCATATTAGATTCGACTAGAACAGCCTTTGTAAATATAATTATCGACTAAAAGATATTACAAAGGTCAATAGCGAGCTACTTATACATGAAGAGGGTTCATTGTAAATCAACAAGCTCGACAACCATTAACACAGCTGTTAAATTAACAAAGCTGTAAGGGCAAGAAAATTCCTCACTTACCAGGCTTAACGACTTCCCCAGGTTGTGTTTTAATTAGAAGTTGTCTGCCATCTAAATGAGTCATTATGAACTGAAAGCCACAAAGGGCCTCGGTAAGGGTCAATGTATGCTCCAGAAATAAGTCATCCCCCTTTCTTTTAAGTTTTGGATGATCTTTCTGCTGTAGGATAAATACAATGTCCCCAGTGACCGTATCAGGCTGCGAAAAAGAAAAATCCCCCGCAAACCAAAGTTAGCAACAGCTAGAAAGCAGCATATTCGTTACAAAATTGCAATTTTATTTAAGATCTAAATTAACCATACTGCTTCATCGGCTTCTCCCGGGTAAGTAATCTTCTGTCCATTCTGCATACCCTTTTCAACAATAACCTCCAAGACTTTCTTATCTTGCACAACCTTATCACCTTTGCATTGTGGGCAACGATCCTTGTCGTTGATGGTCTCACCAGTACCCTTACACTCACCGCAAGGATGCTGCATTTGTTGGATCATCCCAGGACCGATCTGCCGGATGGAGACTTTCATTCCAGAACCTTGACAACCAGAACATTTCGTTGATGCACCTGATTTAGACCCTTTACTGCAAAATTTTCATGTAAAACAATTTCTGTAAACATAGAACAATGATTGAAGCAGTCCAACCATTAGCGATACCACAAACATTAACTCAATTCAAACACTAACCCCTTGCACTTGGAGCAAATTACATTACGTGAAAGAGAGAGCTTTTTTGACGTCCCGTTGTAAAGATCTTCCAACGATACTTTGAGGGGATGGATTACATCCTCTCCCCTTCTTTGTCTTCGGCCTCTGCTGCTTCCACCAGCTGCACAGGTAACCATTTTCAAGCTTCAAGTGAGTAAAAACGAACACATTAAAACAACCGAAAATGTAATCAACAAGTTTAAATTCAAAGTCTTACCACCAAAAGGATTTCCACCAAAGAACGACTGGAAGATATCGAACGGGTCATGACCGCCGCCACCACCGCCCATTCCTTCTTTAAGGGCGTCCTCACCATACTGATCATAAATCTCACGCTTCTCCGGATCACTCAGCACTTCATAAGCTTGAGCCAGCTCTTTAAACTGAATTCCAAAATACAATGCATATGATCAAACAAAGCTAAACTCTACACAATAAAAAAAAAAACACATAATCCAACAAACCCTAAAACCCAAAATTCTCAACCCCAATCGTAATTCTCCCATATTAAAAGAGAATCAAAATAAAACAAGGAAAACCCAATTCGAAAAAACACATAATCAATCGAAAAAACACAAACTTTTTCAGGATCGCCGCCCTTATCAGGATGGTTCTTAATAGCAGCTTTTCTATAAGCCTTCTTTAGATCATCTTGGGAAGCGTTTTTCGATACTCCCAATATCTCATAGTATTTGGTGTTATCGCTCTTCTTTGGTGCTCTCCCAAACATCCTTTTTCTTTCTACTTTTATCTGATCAGATCAAATCCTAAAAATTAAGAGATAAAAAATAAATACCCAGAAAATTCATATCATAAGAAAGTAAATCAGAGTGTTTTTAAAAGAAAATACTAACAGATCTTCAAACGGCGAGTATGAGGCGTGAGAGGCACAAAGATCGTTGACGCGAGACAGCTAGTGACAGAGGAAGATATGATGAGAAGCGAGAGATTGAGTTATAGGGGAAAATGGACGGTTGAGATCTAAAGTTGGAATGCTTTGAGAGCTTTGATAAGAAGAACAAAATGGACGGAATATGTTCCAAGTCCTTGTATTATTCCTATATTTCAAATTTAGTCCACATAATTTTGACTTTATAATTCTAGACCCTAAAATGTCCACACTTAAGAGTTTTGTAACAATTTTTTACATTAGTAAATCGTGTTTGTTAGATTCCTAGGTATTATACTTTCAAGTTTCAAATATGAAATACAAACTTGTCATCCATGTAATTTCCACTGATTAAATAAATTAAATTGTATATTTTTAGCTTTTCCAAAACATTAATATGTCTTTGTTAGTACATCATTGAGATGCCTCTATTCATGCTAAAGACAACAACAAAACCCTATTTTCATATAGAATGGGATAAAAAGAGGTAGAGTAGTAGGTTGTCCCAACGCCAGGTTGAAAGCAGCTTCCGTGGAAGACCTCCGGTAGTCAGAAAATTAAAAATAGAGATAGAATACAATGCATGTATAGTTAAATAAATAAATACATAGTTAAACAGTGTTAATAATGCAGTCTTCAATATGCGCGTCTGTAAATGGGAAGTAATCCCTGCTTAAAAATCTCTGTAATAGACAGAAACGTAAGAACCGAAAAAATTTAAAAAGAGTAAACATGAAGAGAATGATACATAAAAGTCAACAATAGCAAGTTATGAGAAGGAATAAGCTAAAGAGATTAACATTTTTCAATATAATCATTTTAGACATTTGACCTTTTTTCTAGAATGTCTAGATGTCTCATTTTATGCTAAGGATAACATTTTATGTCTAGATGTCTATGTTCATATAACATCGAGATGTCTCTACTCGTGTTAAGATTAACAATACTTTTAACTATCGAGTCTCTTGAGTCACTTAACTATTTTCTCCAAAATTTTAGGATGTCTTCGCTCATGTTAAGGATATTAACATTTCAATTGTTGAGTCTCTTAAGATATTTATCATTTTCTTCAAGACATAGAGATATATATGTTTATGTTAAGGATATCAACACTTTCAACTACTAATCTATTAAGGCAATTAGTTATATCTCTAAAGTGTCGATATATCTCTATGGGTATAATATCGAGATATCTCCAATCAAATTAAAGATAACAACACACTCAAATATTGATCTTCCTAAAAAATTATAAATACTAAAAGAAAAGAAAATTACTAAATTCACAGCATTAGACTTTTGTATTTCTAAAAATTGTCATTTTTATATTTTATTCTGAATTTTCATATTAAACATTCGATGTACACTAAAAAAATCCAATGTACTACTTACTACTATCCACAAGATTATTAAAAGAAGTCAATTTTTTAATTAAGTGATTATCGAATTCCATTGTTATGAATAATTAATTTACAATGATTTATAATAAAAGTCAGTTCAAGGAAACATTATATAATAATAAGTGTTATAACTTTTTTTAAAAATGAAAAAAAAATGATTCTTATTATAATTAAATTCGTAATAAAAATATTCTAAAACTATTCAAAAAATAATAATTTAATTTCACAACTATTGCGAGAATTAATATATGTTTCACTTAGAAGAAACTAATCAAAATTAAAACTAAATTAATTTCACGCGTGAACTTTCTTTTAGTTTTTATTGAGATGAGAAGAAGCAGATTTGCAGAATACAAAATAAATGTAGAAACATTAATTATTATGGGGTAAACTAAGTTATACATCACTAAATCATATTAAAATAATCTTTTTAGTCGGTAAACTTTTAGATGTTATAAAATGATCAGTAAATTTATCAAATTATAATAAATAGTCTTTAAACTAATCAAAATCTATTATTATGCTATAATATGTATACAATCTTATAACTATTCGATAAATTTAATAATCATTTTATAATATTTAAAAAATTATTAACGAAAAGGATATTCTGAGACCTCTAATATACTTAGAATTATTTTATTACATTGCAGAAGCTAATGAAAAAAAAAAGTAAAGAAAGAAAAGGAAGAAGAGCTGCAGAGCATAGTATTAATTAACGGCTGTGACAACCGCATCGTATTACTTTTTTTAAAGTTAATGTTACACTGCAAACTGCCTCAACATAAAAATATAATTATTTTTAGAAAATAAATCACACGATAAAGTCTACAACATCCGCTACTACAACACCACAGCCACAGTAGCAATTTAATGGAGTACTATGGTGAAGAGAGCTCAAATCTGAAAGCAAAGGCCAGATCCCTTGAATTTCTGCTCTGTGATTTCATCCAAACGCTCACTCATCTCGTCACTCAGCATGTTTTTCCAGTCCCCAACGATTCCAGTCCTGAAAAATGCACTGTTTTGCATCCCAACCCATGGATCGATGCCATTTTTGTTCACCTCCAAGTTCTTCAACCTCTCCAAGCTGCACCTCCATATCACATCTTCAGCCTCTTTCTCATTACCAAAAGGTTTTCCCAGGAACAAAGCTAGCTTCTTAACCTCTCCAATGGGGTCTCTTTTAAGGTCCTCGTACTTTAGAAACAACATCTTGTCAGGGGATTTCAAGCTCTAGATCTGGTTCCAGTACTGTAAAACGTGGTCGAAGAATGGTCCGAAATGGGAAACGCCATTGATGAATAACTCGAATGCTTTATCCAACGGGTATGGACCTTGTTGTGGTGTTCGCCGTGCGTTGAAGAAATGCCACATCGAAACCAATGTGTCTTTAGGGTTTCTGGCTATGTAAACAAGCTTACAGTTGGTGGTTTTAATGGATTCCGGTAACGCCCTGTAAGGCAAATGAGTGTGGAAGAGCCTCGGAGACTTCATTGAAGAAACGTCCGGCGGCGGGTTTGCGGTGAAAACTTGAACTTCCAAGGTCTGAACGTAGACAGCGGGGTGGTTTTCGACGAGCGGGTCAGGGTGGTGGTGGTGGTCGTCTTCGTTTGTCTTGGCCAACTTTTCGTTGTCGGCGTCGACGGCGGAGTTGACGATGGACAAAGGGCTTTGAGCCATGTGGTGCCGGTTTTCATGGAGGATGCTAAGATGATATCGTCGTCTCGTGATGAGAAGTGTGAACGGAGTGCCATTGTTGCTTGGAGGTGATAAGATCTGTACCAGAACCCTTCCCATTGATACAAAGGAATGTCCCAAAAGCTTTCCATAGGAAGCTGAGCTAACATTGATTTGAAGAACTCGGATGAATCGGCCATGATTCAGCTGCTTTGAAGAACTGGTATTCTTAGTGGTGGGGATACTCAATATAAAGCTGTGTTGCTCTGCTTTGGAACTACAAGGATATACATACGTGTATAAGTTTTATAGGAGTATTTGATTTTTTTTCACGTTTAAAATTTTATAATTTAGTTCTAGTCCTGTTAAGAAAATTATATATATATATATATCAATATCATTTTAGTTTTAATTCAACCGTGTATATTAATAAATAAATAGAAATAGTTATTCTCTTGAATAAATAGAATCAATTACATTACAAGTCCTCAAACTATGACCTTCATTCTAAATTGGTCTTTAAACTTTTAATTATTATAATTTCATCTCCAAACAATGATCCTCATTCTAATTTGATCCCAAACTTATGAATATTTTAATTTAATCCAAATCTATCAATATATTCTAATCACATCCCCTTTAATAAAATCGTTAGGCCAAGTTATTATATGTTTAAAAAAATAGGTTAAAGTCTAGGGTTGTTCAAATTTTCGAACTAATTCGGTTAACCGACCGAACCGAATTAGTTCGGTTAATTCGGTCGGCCACCGAATTAGATCAGTCGGTTAACGGTTAATGTTTTTTTAGATATTCGATTAACGATTAATTTGGTTCGAAAATGGTTAATTAACCGAATTAACCCTTAAATATTTTTTAATATTTTTTTCACCCCATAATATGTTGTCCCCCACTTAAATTTTTTCTTTCCCTTAAATATTGTTTCACACGTAGGCATAGCATGGGTGAGGCAGCACTGCTAGTGTAAATTATTATCATTTCTCTTGTTCTTGGTTTCAGGTTTGCTTTTATCAACTTCGGTGGCAGCCTGACAGGTGGGTTCTTCTATGTCTTTTTGCTATAACTTTTTAGTTTATGGTGCATGTCATGCACGTTTTGTCGATCAAAATGTTGAAATTACGTTTTATATGTCTTTTAACATGCTTTTTCGCATAGAATAATGGGGTTTGAAGATGGCGGATGAAGTATTTTGCATGTTTAATATTATAAACTGTTTTTAAATTCAAAAATTATAAAAAATTTCGGTTAATTCGAAAATTAACCGAAATTTATTCGGTTCGGTTAATACTTTCATAAAAAAGTTCGGTTCGGTTAACGGTTAAATAAAAAAAATCGGTTAATTCGGTTAAGGGTATTTCGGTTCGGTTCGGTTTAGTTCGGTTTTAACCGAATGAACACCCCTAGGTTAAACTAATCACATATTTGGATGAATTTGAGGATGAAATTAAAAAATTCAAAAAGTTTGAGGACCAATATAAAATGAGATTTATAATTTAAGAATAAAAGTGGAATATTCAAAAGTTTAAAGAGTAATTTAGAATGAAAGATATAGTTTTTATTTTTATATTAAGCTTATTTTAAAATTATGATACCATCATTTAAAAGTTCTAGTTCCATCCATGCATGTATCATTAAGCCATACAATTAATATATCCATCTTTCGAATGATAAAATTCTTGGTTCTTCAGGGTTTGAATTATCAAAGGAATGTCAAAATGTCACAATACGAAGATGAAATAAATGTTCTAATTTTATAGCCTAATTGCTCAACATATAAACTCATGCAAAATCACTAGTTACAGATCATACAGCACCTTGTTGCTTGTCAAGTATGTTATGAATATGACCTCTGATAATCTCTGCAACGATTTCCGGCGAAAAACTAGTGACCATGTCCTTCCTTGCTTTCCTACCTTTATCCCTGGCCTCCTCCACATTACTAATCACTTGCCTCATAAGCGCTCGAAGCTCCGTAACAGACGGTTCAGCCCACAAGTGCCCTTTAAACGGTCCTTTAGTTACGTCACTCA